GAGCTGCAGACTGTTCTGACATATCTGCTAACTCACTGAGGAAATTGAACATTGATAGACTTGTTCATAGATATTGAACACTGTTAGGCTCAGGCTGCAGCCCTGTCTCACTCCACGTCCTTGGGTGAAGAATTCTGTTCTTTTTTTTCCAATTCTCACTGCACATTTGTTCTCCGAGTACATTGATTTAATTATGTTGTACACTTTACCCCCTAGGCCACTTTAGAGATGTTTATAAAACTGTCCTTCGTGCTAAATTGAGTCAAATGCTTTCTTGAAATCAATAAAGTAGGCAAAAAAAAAATTCCTTTGTCGTTTTAATGGACCTGGTTGTCTATCGGTGTGCGTAGGGTGTACAGTTATCGTGATTAGATGTGTGGTGATCTGTTAAGAAGCCAATCTGACTTTTACTCGGGACATTGTGTTCGGTAAGGAAGGTCAGTATTTGTGTTTTCAAGCTACTGCAAAATACCTTCTCCAGGTTACTGTTCACACAGATGCCCTGGTAGTTGTTGGGATCAAGTCTGTCTCCACTCTTATAGATGGGCGTGATCAGTCCTCGGTTCCAGGCCTCAGGGAATCAACCTGCTTTCATGATGAGATTGAGGCGTTTGAGTAGGGCTTGTTGAAGCTTCGAGCTGATGTGTCTCAGCATCTCATTGTTGACTCCATTTTGGCCACAGGCTTTGTGTGGTCTCAGGGCCTGGAGTTTGTCCAGTAGCTCCTGCTCTGTGATCGGGAAATCTAGGGGGTTTCGGTTGTCTTTAATAGCCGATTCCAAAATTTCATGTTTTTCCATAAATTATGTTTTGGTCTGATTTATATGATATGGCCAGCAGCCAGATATGGCCAGCTGCCAGCGGCCTGATCACCCTGTGACTCACAACTGGCAACCCACTGAAGCTAAGGAGGTGTGAGCCTGGTCAGTACCTGGATGGGAGACCTCCTGGGAAAAACTAAGGTTGCTGCTGGAAGAGGTGTTAGTAGGGCCAGCAGGGGGCGCTCACCCTGCGGTCCATGTGGATCCTAATGCCCCAGTATAGTGATGGGGACACTGTACTGTAAACAGGCGCCATCCTTCGGATGAGATGTAAAACCGAGGTCCTGACTGTCTGTGGTCATTAAAAATCCCAGGGCGCTTCTTGAAAAGAGTAGGGGTGTAACTACTGTAAATGTAATTTCCCATTGGCCCTTCCCAATCATGGCCATAGATAATAATCCCCCTCTATGAATTGGCTACATTACTCTGCTCTCCTCCCCACTGATAGCTGATGTGTGGGGAGCGTTCTGGCGCACTATGGCTGCCGTCCCATCATCCAGGTGGGGCTGCACATTGGTGGGGGTGGTGGAAAGAGTCCCCATTACCTGTAAAGCGCTTTGAGTGGAGTGTCCAGAAAAGCGCTATATAAGTGTAAGCAATCATCAATCATCAATCAATCAATCATTTATTTGTACTTGGAAGCATTTGGTACAGATTTTTCAAAGTATTTTTGCCAGATTGTTCCATTTTGGATTGGCCAGTTCTTCTGGTTTTCATTTATTTATAGTTCCACTTCTCCCAGAAACAGTTCTGATTAAGTGAATCCTCAGTTTCTGCAAGTTGTTTGTTTATGTATGTGTTTCTTTTCTTTTTCAGCGTGTTTATAAAGTTTTACCATGTCACAGTACCTGAGGCGCAGATCTGTGTTGTGTGGTTGTCTGTGTTTTTGATTTGAGAGTTTTCGTAGTGCTTTTCTGATGTTTTTGCACTCTGTGTAAGACCACATTTATTTGCTTTTGTTTTTTGGCAGTTTTTATTTTGTTGTTTTCAGCTTTGATTTTGATGCTAGTTTGTGAAATAGGTTATTTAGTCTTTGTGTGGCCAAGTTTATGCCTATTTTGTTGGTTTGGTAAGGACTGTTTAGGAATTTGTCCAATAGAATTTCCTCATCACGCAGTGCAGATTGATATCTGTCCAGACTGTCTCCCATCTGGTCTGGACGCATGGTTGAGGTCGTACAGCTAGCTGGCCGGGTTGTGTCAGTGTGTCTCTGTGCTGGGGTGCTCTCTTCATGTAGAGTGTCATCTGACTGTAGTCGGGGAGAGGACACAGATATTCTAACAACATCAAAACAACAACATCGATAGAAAAGGGAATCGTAACTCTGGGGATGATGTCATCGTGACGTCAGGGCCTGTCCGCGGAATGACGGGATCCGAGGCTGGGCGCTGAGAGGCCGAGAGCGCAGGACGGTCTGGCTGCAGGGATTTTCCCAAATCTCCCGGAGAACAGAGACACCGCTACCCCACGCCGAGCAGGTATGGCGAACCTCTGTCGGCAGCGCGTCGGTCCCGGGCCGGCGAGGTCCGTGTGGCCTCGCCGCCGACAGCCCGTCTCCTCCCCCGGGCAGGCGAGCAGCGTCGCTCCGCCGCAGGTCCGCGGTTTCAGTTGAGCACAGAAGCCGAGGCGCTCGGGGCTCTGTGCCTGGGAGTTTGGGGAAGTGGGAATTTTTTCGAATTCAGTTTAGTTTGACATCGCTGAAGAACTATTTATTTGTGTTTTTTGGATATCGTGTATTAATTAAATAAAATCCCAAATTTTAGTCTATGGGATTGAGGAGACGCGGGTAGTAGGTGTATCGTATTATTGTGGTTATTTCATTTTCCTTTGAAGCGTTTATAAAATGCCGTCCTACAGACAGCTCTGTGTCACCTGCACCGGGGCTCGGCTCGGCTCTCGCTGGTTCTGGTCGGGTTTCGCTGGGCAGCTCGACCCGGAGCGACCATGAAAATTGGCTTATTTATGACCATGCGCTTTGTTTGCAGACAGTTGGTGTGTTTTGTGCCCAGATAAAGTTTACGAGAAAAACGGAAATGCCTTGAGTAAGTTTCCTCTGGGCCAGTTTGGATATTGATTGACACGTATTTTTTTATTTAGAATTGATAGCGGCCCTCTGTTCCAGATGTTTAATATCGAGGAGCTCTTTATGTCCCTGTTGGAAGCACAAACCACTGGCTGAATTTTTTAATAATACGGTCTTTGAAGAGTATATGGAGTAGGCCTCAAAGCCTCGGACTGGATTATCGTTCCCTGGCTGAATTCCAGGTATTGTTTGAGGCGTTGCAAGACCCGCCCCTTTCGCGAATATGCGCTCGGTTATTGGCTGATGGACTCTGAAAACAGTCTAAATCTGCGACCTGATTGGCCGTGTGCGTGTCAGTCGGACCTGCCCGGAGTGTTGCTGGGCGGTAGTGTCCGGACACCGCGGGCTGTCCTCTGTGGTCCGAGGGCACTGTCCTGGGGCACTGGTGTTTCATCTGAGATCTTACCCGGTTCCTCTCCTCGCTGGAACATGTGTAGCAGAGCTCTCTTTAAACGTGTTGTGGAGTCTCGTTATCGGTTTTTGTTCTAAAAACGAAATTTATTTCACGGGAGAGTCCAACATAACAATAACTCAAAAACAAACTTCACCAACAAAGACCGCAGGACCGCAGTGTTTGGGGAGAATGGGTTCACGCTGATACAGGATGCGTCTGCAGCACTGAAGCCCACAGCGTCTGGCGTGAGACCTGTGTCCTCATGTCCAGTTGTGATCGAGGGGCTGGTTTGCTCTGGCTCAGTTGCTTGTACCTTGTCTGTCGCAGAATCCCATTCATCTGGGTTTTGAAGTGTCCCAGGGAATCAACCCATCCAGGCAGCTTGACCCAGGGCCCCTGGACTCCGTGAAGCAGTTTCCTCTGTCCACTTGAGTTCTCGCTGTCTTAATCTTTAGGGTTCTCCTCAGGGGGATGGATGT